TTCTTCTAATTCCACTCTTGAATCTTATGGACATTCTCTTCTTTTCATTCCAGTCAAACAGGTTGACTCATTGTTAGACATTCAAGTCACTCCGGCTTCTGTTGCTAAAGTCATATCTCAATTAAACTCGTCTACAGCTTGTGGTCCAAACAACATTCCTGTCACAGTCTTGCAGAATTGTTCTCCAGAACTTTCTTCAATTCTCTCTAAACTATTTAACAAGTGTTTGACTGAGTCTTGTTTTCCTGCTTGTTGGAAAATGGCATCTGTGGTTCCAATATTCAAAAACTCTGGGGAAAATTCTGACCCCTCCAATTATCGTCCGATCAGTCTTCTTTCTGTTATTAGCAAGGTCTTTGAGTCTTTGATCAACAAATTCCTCACATCTCATCTTGAGTCAAATAAACTACTATCAGACAATCAATACGGTTTTCGATTCTCTCCCTCTACGGCCGACTTGCTAACTGCTGTAACTGAAAGATTTTATCGTGCATTAGATGGAGGCGGTGAGGCTAGGGCGGTTGCTCTTGACATATCTAAAGCTTTCGACAAAGTTTGGCATGCTGGTCTTCTCCATAAGCTTGCTTCATATGGTGTTTCTGGGAAAGTTTTTGAGATTATCAAATCATTTCTTTCTAACCGGTTTATTAAAGTCATCCTTGAAGGCCAACACTCTTCTTTATTTCCATTAACTTCTGGGGTTCCCCAAGGTTCCATCCAAGACCCTGTTTTGTTTCTTATCTACATAAACGATCTTCCTGACAACCTTTCATCTAAAGTAGCTCTTTTTGCTGATGACTCAACTTTATACTCCTGTCTTGACAAAAAGTCTTCTCTTTTCGATCGCTTAGAACAAGCAGCTGATCTTGAATCCGATCTCACTTCAGTAATAGATTGGGGTTCACAGTGGCTTGTGAATTTCAACTCTGAAAAAACCCAGTTGCTTACTGCAAATAACTACCGTAATATGGTCAACATTTCTATATTAATGAATGGCAATCCTCTTACCGAGTCGTCCTCTTTACGTCTTCTTGGATTATCGCTTACTACTGACCTTTCATAGAAACCATATATACAATCGATTGCTAAATTAGCTTCTGCTAAGGTTGCTTTTTTTATCGTGCTCGCCATTTCCTTACTTCTGATTCCATTCTCTACCTCTACAAATCTCTTATTCGTCCCTGTATGGAATACTGTTGTCATATTTGGGCTGGTTCTTCTAACGATTCACTTTCTCTTCTTGACAAGGTCCAAAAACGCATTGTAAATGTTGTTGGACCTGGACTATCTGCTAAGCTTGAACCTCTTTCCCATCGTCGTAAAGTTGCATCTCTTTCTCTTTTCTACAAATACTATCATGGTCACTGCTCAAAGGAGTTATCATCTCTAGTTCCATCAACTAAAATTCATTCTCGTTTTACTCGTCATTCAGCTAAGTCTCATTCGTTTACTGTATCTGTCCCTGCATGCTCTAAAAACTTTTATTCATCTAGATTTTTTCCCCGCACTTTAATCCTTTGGAACTCTCTCTCATCTTCATGTTTTCCAGACTCATACAACCTTCAACTTTTCAAGTCTTCTGTTAACCGTTTCCTTGCTCTATAACTCTGTTCTTTTTTTTCCTAGTAACTCCCAACTTGATAGTGGCTGCTTGCAGCCTTGTTGGGAGTGAATGCAAATAAAAAAAAAAAAATTTAATATTTACCTAACTAACTGCATCACAAGTTAAGCCATGTATTATTGTTAAAATGTCAAATTCAAAACCTTATAAAAAGGCAACAGATGGCCTAATTTATTAGCATGTGTGACTTTACTTGTTTTTTTATTGGGCTAATAAGTAACATTTTATGTCTTTACTTGTTATAAAAAGACATAACAAGTCATAAAAAAGATGTCTTTTATTCGTCTAAAGATATCTTTTTTCCCATTGGGTAGTTGATGGGTACATCTGGGTCATACTACTCGAAATTATTCAGATGTATGTGGGCCGTTTTTGCGGCGGGGCATTACAAATTATACAAGTAGGGGCTAATATAGTTGGTAGGATGGATTTGTAAAAGTAGGACAGCGACGGCGAGTTCCCTTGAACTATAAGGAGCAAAATTATTTTTTCGTTTAGACCGAAAGTAGATTATTGGTCCTAATTAAACATTTAAATATGGTGAGGGGAGGGTATAGTTTTAATTTTCTTGTTACTTTTTAAATTATTTTTTAAGTTCCCCCAAGAAGTCTGTACGGTACAGAACCCCGCGTAAAAGCATTTAACATCGCGCCTCTTTTCTAACCGATGTCGCAAAACTCACCCATTTCTTGATGAACCTTTAACCTTTATGATCAAATATTTATTATGCATTATTTATTTGGTATAGGGAGGGGGGGGGGGAAAGAGATAAACTAAATGCTATAAAACAATATCCGTTAAAGGCAAGGAAAGCCGGTTAACCATAAACTAAAAGATCTGTGCACCACAAATTATGAAGCACACAGCTTTTATTATTACTTGGGGACCTAAGTTACTGAAAAGAAGGTTATTGAAAAGAAGGTTATTGGCAACAGCCTTCTTTTCAGTTGCTTTGGTGGCCAAGCTGCCCAAATAATATTCTAACTTATTCGAATAAAATAGTGCCTTTAAAATAATTTGTTATTTTTTAAGAATTTCCTTTATAATTTAACGTGAAGATGGGCAGTAAACTGTCCGCCATAAGTAGCTTATGTGGCTACAATGGGGTCTTTTCAGTAGCTTATGTTGCTTCAATGATGCTTCTATTACTCTATTCAAGACTAAAGTATTATGAATAGTTCTTTAAAAAAAGTTAGTTTTCATTTGGGTAAGAGATGTTGTTAATAATTACCACGCTGACTTAAAGATCTTAAAGAAGGACGATGATGATAGACGATTTAAAATAGTCTTTTAAAACAAATGAAAAATTAGGTTTTCACCCAAATTTAATAATAATTTAATTAGCGGAAAAATCTAGCAACTGTAGCGGAAGCATTGTATAAAATTATCAATAATGGCTTCTGATATTATACCATACATGACACGACATACGTCAGATTAAATTTCTTCAAACATACATATTTATTATATTTTAGCATACTGTAGTAAGCCAAAAATATCAATGAATAGTTTTAACAGCTAAAACCATAATCGGATTAAGATTATTTGTCGCCTGGGGGGCGACAAATAATCGAAATATGCGATCGAAAAGAGAAGACTTTTTGTCAAGACAGGAGTAAAACTTAATAATTTTTAAAGTAGCTTTCTTTTAAGTGCTACAACATCTAAAGTGATTTAAAAATTTAAAAAAACTGTCCTTTAGAATATTTTATGGCCGCCGCCTAAACCTACTCACCACCACATAATCTAGTACTGCCTAATATAGTCATAGACCGGGAGTAAGAATGGTTTTAATCGGCAGCATATTGCTGCCTTCAAACCAAATACTGATACATCAAAATTTACAAGGGAAAAAAAAGCCAAAACCGCTCACAAAAAATGTTGCCAAAAACTAAATGTTAGTTACTTTGATGCAAGTTGTAAATTTTGCATTTCACTTGGTTGCACAATATCCTTTCTAATTTATTTTAGAATATAAGTAAATTTACTTATAAAATATAAATTATTTTTAGTTTACTTTAAAAATTTCTTTAAAAGTATACCCAGTTGGCACGGACGTAAAAAAGACGTCTTTTAAACGTCTTATACACGTTTTGGACGTCTTTTGAACGTTCAAAAGACGTCTTTTTTAGGTCCGGTGCTCACTGGGTAAGCTTAAGTAATAGAACTTTTTCTTTATATAATTTATTTTTTACAGCATTTTTTTTTTTTACTTATATAATAAAAAATAACAATTTATATAATATTATTTTATAAGTAAATTTTATTTATATTTGGTCGCCTATTACTTTTATGTAATTCTTTTTCATAATAAAGTTTTTTTTACAATTACGGTAATATAATTTTTTTTTTATAAATTATTTTTATAAGTAAATCTAAATTATATTTTGAGGAACTATTAAATTATGTAATGTAATTTGAAAAAGTAATTATTATTTTTATTAAAGTAACTATAATTAATATTATAATTATAAAAGTAAATTGCTTTTTTATGAGGCTTTTCTTGTGAGAAATGAGCTAGCGACTAGATAGCTTTATAGCAATTTTGAAGCAATTTTTTTTATTCTTATTTTATTCTTTACTAATGTCTCTAACAACTTTAAAAATTCGATTATTAGTGTTGAATCTATAATAATTATGAGAATAATTGAACTTTAAACATTGCGATTTTGTAGCAATGTATCCCTAGCTACATATCAGAGCTTTGTAGCTAGCTACAAAATATCTACAAATCTATAACTGGTTGATAGCTAGATACCAAAATTTTTTTGATAGCGATTTTATTACGATATGACGGTAGCTACAACAGCCTGTGAGTCTTTAGTTTATTAAGCTAGCTGTCCTCGTAGCCAAATCGCTGTCTTTATCTTTACAAATATCGATAGCTTTTCGCTTACTTTAAAAAGCTAGCGATCCTCGTGGCTTAATCGCTATCTGTAACGTAACGATTATAGCTAGCTATTCCCTAGCCGATTACTCACTAGGTTACTTTTACTTGTAAAAGTAAATTACTTTTTGATGTAATCTGTTTTTACAGAATTTACTTTTGAAAGTAAAAAAACATACTTTATAAAGTAAAAGTCGTTTCATAAAAATTAATTACTTTTTTGTAAATGTAAATTCAATTTGAACGATGACAATTACTTACATAATAAACTTTTTGAAAAAAGTTTACTTACTCGTGAAAGTAAAAAAAAAGTAAGTAAAGTACCATCCCTGGTGAAACATTTTTTATATCATTTTTAATGATAGCGTTTTAATTATTAAAATCTTGCTTCAAAAATTTTGTATGCCTTTTTTAGGTTAAGTGGGGTTGAGACACACGTCTCTTCACCTCAATGAGTCATCGTTTGCGCCATCAGTGTATGTTCTAAAGTAGTATTTTTATTTTTAATATAGTATAATTTTTGTTTATGATACTATATTTAGTTTTTTATAATAAAAATAAAAGTGTTAATAAGAATGAATCACTTTTATAATAGTTGCACGTGAATGCATTTTAACTCAAAGATAAATCCCACATACTTGGCGGTAGCCTAGAAGCAAATTTCAACAACTTCTTGGGTATAAAAATTACTATAATTTTATATCTAGAATTTGAGTTTTAAACTATGAGTATCTAGACTCTTGTTATCCAAAATTTCAATACGGGAATTAACTCCGTCAAATGATCCAATAAACATTGGTTCTGAACAACTTTCAACGTGAAAAGAGCCATCTGAGCTTAAAGCTATAACTCCCCCAAAATTTGACCCAAGTTCACTTTTAAGAACTTCCCTACATGAATCTCTTAGACTTTTGTTAATTTTGTAGCAACAAGCAATTTTGGATGCAATAGAATTTTGTATAAGTGCTTTCCCGTTTCCGGAACATACTACTGTATTATGTTCATCTGAATAGATTCTTTCGCCAACAACACCTGTATCACTAATTCTTTCTTTCGTCTTTTTCATTGTTCCGCTAGTTGAAGAGGCTGCAGCAATATTACCATAAGTATCAAGAGCTAGCGCTCCTACTGTTTTTTTATGGTCATAGGATTTAAAAACGTTATCATTCATTTCTCTACGACAATGATCAGTATTGAAATAAGAATTTTCAACTGTCGGAAGATTAAACTCTTTTCCAATAACAAATGAATGGGGCGTTTTTTCTATCCTTGTCGCTCTTGTAGCTTTTTTTATAGTTGCAAGACATGCTACCGAACCACAAATTTTATTTTTATCATCAACAATTGAAGTTTCTAATTCATGTTCGTTCTCTTCATTAAAAATTAAACCTTTTCCTGTATTAAACAAAAAACAATTTTCCAAAGAAGTAACTACTTTTTTTACAGCATCAACGGTACTTTCACCGGATATCAGTGAGCTTATCCCAATTGAAAGAGCTGATTTTAGAGAAAATAAAATTACCTCTTTAATTTCTTGATCCAAAGATATATTGACTCCAGCTCCTCCATGAATTAATAATAGAAAAGGTAATTTTTCATTCTGTTTTTCACAATTTTTGAGAGTTTTCAGTGCACCCATTTGAAGAGCTATAGCAGTTTTAGTAGCAACTGTTTGAATATCAAACATGGCTTTCAAAAAGTTATTTTTCAATTCTTTTAGATTTTCTTCAAATATACCATTGGCATTCATAATAATTCGAACTCTGTTTTCTGAACCAAAATAATTTACATGTAATTGATTTGTAGCGTACATGTTTGAAGTTGCAAAGTCGATTCCTTTCGCTGATTCATATCCTGTTAAATATATAGACGGAGACCAAAAAATTTCCATAAGTGCTTTCAATATATTTCCATCGTTTGAAAGCCAATTTCGAAATTGCCCAATGTGTGGACCAATGGCATAACCCATTTTTGTTATTTTAATTTTATTTTAATGCTCTTTGACTGCTTTAACAAAAGTATTAATTACCTCATTACTTGATTGATTAGAATTCAATTCTTCTAAAAACTTCACTGATTTTTCTGTTATCGTGTAGGTTGGATTCGTTCGGCCTTTTTTGAAATGTCTTACATGTGTTGGAGTAACCAACAAAAATTTTAGAGTTCCAAATGTTCGCTTAATTGCTAATTGTAAACCAAAGTTAATCCAAACTTCGTATAACCTTTGTTCTTTTAATATTGTGAAGATACCTTCATATCCAAAAAAGTCAAAATATTCAATATTGTTTCTCACACAAAGGTTTCCTTCAAATTCTATGTCTTCAAGATTAAAAAAAATAGGGTTAAAATTGAATTTTATTTCATCAAAACTTTTTTTTATCATTGTTTTTTCTCCACAAGTTTCACCCAAATAATAAAGAGACTGACAAATAACATACATCAAATACCCATCAACAACTGTATGTTCTAGCAATAAACCAGCAACACAATTTTTATAGACGATTATATTAACTATTTGATCATAATAACGCATGTTGCCATGTAACGCATCTCCAAACTTATCTCCAAACTTTACATGATTAATCGCTTCATGATATTCAGAAGGGCAATCTTCATCTTCAACAATAATTGTCGCAATCGAATTTTCCATAAACTTTAACGACTCTCTATTTTTCAATGAAAGATTTTCACGAATTTCATTCCACTTATTGCGTTTGAGTGAAGTAAACTTGCATACTGATGGTATTATTTTACCATCATAGTTTGTTATTGCCTTTATTTGCGCATAAATTTCAGAAAAGTTTAATGTTTCACCTTTAGAAGACAAAATGTAAACAATAAAAGCACAACCTTTAAAAAGAACAAGAACGTGTTTGCTTTTTTCGTCTCCGTAAATTGTATCTTTTGTCTTTCCAGGAATTCGACAACTGAACATATTTGATTGCTGCGTGTTTTCTAAATTCGAAGAACTAAATTTAGTATTGTCGTATTTTTTTAGAACAGAATCATCCGATTTCAACATTCCAACACTCATTGCTAGACAAGATACATAAAAAGTTTGATCCTTATGAATCTGACTCTGTTTCAATAAAAATGGTACTGATGTCGAGTTTGGTATCGACTCGCGATTGGATAGCAGTTTATGTATAAACTCTTCCGTTGTCCAGTTCTCTTTTTCTTTTACTCTTTCGATAAAGTCAGAATGAAGTAAAGAAAGATAGTCCAAATTTTTCTCCCATTCGCTTAAAAATTGCTTGAATTGTTTTGACTCTAACGTCAATTTAAGAACTTGTTTAATTTCGCAAGCTGTTATACTCATTTCAGGCATTGGAAAGTTTGATAGAGAATCCATATTAATGTTGCTTTTTATTTCTTAAGAGTTATGTTTTTATTCTTATAAAAATTATCTTATTATGTATCTTGAAATCTTATATAATTTATCGTTTACCGATTTTAACGATTAAAGCTTAAATCAATGATGAAGATTATCAAGTACATATAATTGTAAAACGCTAAACCCACAATATTTACAATTATTTTAATTTTGACCTATTAATTTCCAACTTTAGTCACGATAATATTTTAAAGTTTGACGCATAAGGGTCATTTAATAAGTATTATGCGTAATACATATTCATACATACTCAAATGACGTCAATAAGTTAACAAACTGGATGTCGTAATAAACTAAAATGCAAAAAATATAATTATATACATATAATTACTTCATAAAAAGATTATAAAGAATATAAAAACAATACTTTTTTTAAAAGTAGTAAAAAACGTGCAGGTGTAGTTGTATCATTACTGTTATAATTTGTGTTATTACAATATTCTTTCGTGTTATTACGAAAAGAACTTTATACAATTTGCTTGGTTAACTATTAGAAGATGTTTCCTCGTTAGCCACGCACTTTCTAAAGTTTTAAAAAGACAAACATAAATAGTTGTAGCTATTATATATATTATTATATTTAATATTATTATTGTTATTATTGCTATTATTGCTACTATTATTGTTATTATTACTATTATTATTATTATTATGTTACTTTTATTTAGTTGTATTAGTTTTAGGTCTGTGTGCGACGCAATTTCATCGAATAGTTGTTATTATAATAATATTTAACGAGTTATTTTAATTAATATTGAATCTATTTTCATTTTTATTTATGATTAAAAAATCTTTTTAAAATTGTACTTTCATATTGATAAATATAACTTTTAAATAATAAAAAAAGAAAATAAACTTGCATGGGCATCAGCATTAGTTGATGCTTGAGCTAACTTCCCGACACGGAGCTAATTCTAAATATTTATATGTTTATACTTATTTATGAGCCTTTAAATGTGTATGTATAAACAACATAGGATAAATAAGGATGCTTTGAAAAATATTGCAATAATTAGAGCCTGAGAACAAGCTCTAAAATTTTCGCCCTGTGCCCCAAAAGTAAGAGCAAAAAGTTGTTAAATTTTTTTTTACTATTTTGGAATTTGCTCCATGTCTTGAAGTCATTTATCTCAAACACCAAAATACGTTGAATCTGAGCCTGTAAACATTTAAGCAATGGGTCAAAATAATTCATAAATTTCAAGTTAATATCCGACAATCATTAAGAGCTGTTTACAATCATTAAAAGCTGTAAAAATTGTATATAATTTTATTACTTTTTTTAATTACACAGCTTAGTTTTTATTTTTGTTATGAAATTGTTGCAATAAAATAATGATTTAACTTATTACTTTATGATTCATTTTATATTACTTTTATTAGTTCAAATCATAGTCACAAGAAATAAATTTTTTTTTTATTATTTTTTTATTTTATTCTTATAACTATCTTTAAATATATTTAAAGTGACATACTTCAACTGACTTAAATAACTGACTTAACGCACATCGACTTCATCGACGTAACGCATTAGAGTGTACGTCGTTGTCGACTAATTTAGGTTTGGGTAGACAATCAATTTATCTTGAATTTTATTCCATGTCAAAATAATTTTAAATTGTTTTTTATACAATTATCAACTTTATTGCCGCTGTTTTTATTTTTTATTTTTTGATTATTTCTTATATTTTTATTTTATTGAGAAAATAATGAATCTATTAAAACCCTCTTTAAAGTTCATTTTTTGATTACAAATTTCATCTAACAGTTATTGAATGTTAAAGAAACCAGCAAATTTAAAAGAAATCAAACGGCATTTTCTGTTAAAATGCGTAACTAAGGTTGTTTTTTTTTTTGTTAAAATGCGTAACTAAGCGTTTTTCACTCCTACGTTTTTACATATCTATTTAATTATAATCCGGTCAAAATAAACATTTCAATTTACAATAACTCGCATTGAGCTGAAAATTGGTACATACCTTTGAGACATTATTACAAATAAAGTATTATAAGTCCCCATCGATCCCATATCTGCAAAAAAAGTTATTCAACGTCAAAGGTATAAAAAAAAAAAGGTGGTTTTAAAAAAAAAAAAAAGAAAATGTTTTATTATAAAAATAGATCAAACAAACGTACTAGATCATGAAAGTGTTTACTAAAACTGCCTTTATTGCAACTCTTGCAAAAATATATTGCGAGAAAATATATTTCGATTTTATATAAAATATAATGCTAGAAAAGTAATTGCGATTCTTGTTAAATTACGAAATTAATATACCGTAATATATACATTATATTTTTATATATTATTTATTATTAAATGATATATTATATATTAGTATCTTCTTCGCTTTCTTCTTCTTTGTAGTCATCTTCTTTTTCAAGCTGGATATGTGAAAAAGATACATCAATTGTCTCTTCATTGATATCATCAAAATCATCATTTATTTAATTTGATTCAACATTGGAGCAAGACTGGCCTCGGCAATTAGTACACACCGATGAACAAAATAACCCGACTTTTTTACAGCTACATTTTGCACTACAACCCCTTTTGCAATTACAGAAGATGGTATTGAGAAGTTTTTCTGGAGCTGGTGGGAGTAAAGTTTCAATCGGCTCTAATGTATTATTTACTAATTTCCAACACCAGTCTGATGGGTCCAATTGATTGCCTAGCCATACTTGAACTTGATAATATACTCGATACAAATGTTGGCAAGAAGAAGCAGATGTTGGAGGAAGACAAGATAACTGCACTCTTTTATTATTCCGATGTTTTTTACAAAAGTTAGGTATCTATACTTGTCTAAACAATCAATTTTATTTGAAGCTCCATATAAAGCAAGAAGAAAACAAATCCCGTTTGTAACAATGTCTTGTGGTGAAGAGTCTATCTTTTGAAACACTTCGGCGCAATTAGTTAAATCACATTTTTCAAATAATTTAAATGCGGTTGTTTTACCCTTTCTGAAAAATGCTGATGTAGTATCGCAGCCAGTAGTTGCATGTAAAAATAAGATATGATTTTGACATTTTGGATAAGCAGATAAACTTTTTGATGAATATATTTCTGTTGGTTGATGAGCTTTACCGGGTTTTAAAAAGTAAATAGTCTTATCAATTGGAGTCCGTGCAGTCAGTAATACCAATAAGTCAACATCTTCACCGACAACAACAGAAGTATTTGTTGCATTGGATTGTTCTATAGCTGTTTCAATTATAAGGACATCAGCGTCATTATCTGCTTGCTCACTATAATATTTGCAGCTGTAAATCTTTCGCATAACATAAAAATGAAGCGAGACTTGTTATAAGTATTGGAAAGGAATTGTTGTTGGTTTGTTGGAACTGTCATAAATTAATCAAAAATGACATCAGGTGAAGAAGATATTTTTGTGGTTCGACGACGCTGTTCTGCAGCTTTAATATTTTTCTTATAATCAGTATAACCATCAAATACTACTGTAGACATTCTATAACTAAAATGTCTATGTACGTACTGAATCTATTTATCAAAAGTAACGTTAAAGGTTACTTCTCGATCCCACACAACGCGGTGTAATAAATACCCTCCATCGATGATGTAACTAGCATTTGTGTTGTCAATTTCAATTTCCACTGATTCAAAGCAATTGCAAATAGCTGATTTCTGTGTTTTACGCATTCCAGTTTCATCAAACATTGATAAAGGATAGGGGGCTAATTCATAAACAAAATATTTTTCTATTTCATCCTCAAATGTCTTAGTAATACTCATACGTTGAAATAGTAATACTGGATCTACAGGTACTTTCTCATCATGAACTTTTATGGTGCTACTCATTTTATTATCACCAAACATTCCACTAGCAATTGAAATAATTTCTTTAATATTAGGAAAAGGATCATGTAATAAAAACCATTGCTGAAGTTTTTCAATATCTTTATCATCTTTCTTTATTCGTGAATCACTTGCATCTACATGCTGATCTGTTGTATACGTTCTAATATCAGCAAGATCTTCTAATCCTTCGCATACAGTGTTCATTGCATACATGCCATAAACCCATTTACTTATAACACTTTCTTTTGTACTTCTTCCTTGAGAAATATGTCTTCATTGATTCCATCATTGATTGCTCTATTACCATATCCGTTGAAGTGCCACAATTGAGTTTATCAGAACGTCTAACAGTGAAAAATCCTTTGATAAACCGTTGATAAACACTTTAATTCGTTAACTTCTCTAATTGTAGCATATCCTGTAGACATAATTGCGCAGACTTAGCATAAGGAAAATGTCCCGATGCGTGGAAATAAGGAAGCATTTCTTTAATACTGTTCAAATAACCTTGCTAATCTCCCATGCGTTCAGCTCTGATAAACTCCTTTGCAATTGACACCATATTAAGATATTGTATCCATAGTTTTGATGTAGGTCCTCATTTTTCAAATTCTTTTAATTTTTCATTGAACTTTGAAAGTAATGCATCGAACATTTCATTATCAACGCCACTTTCAATATCACTTTATAAAACTTTGTTATTTATGACATCCTTAATGGTAATATCAAGATTTGCTTCCATCTCCTAATCAATAGCAAGATCTTTTGAAATTATTATAGCTAAAGTGAGCTGAAGTAATGTATGGGCTCTAACAGCTCTAGCGTAAGCATGGTCATTGAGCTTTTTTTCTAACGACTTAGGTTCATAAATTAACGAAAGTGCCTATTGTATGCCATTTCCTTGCATAATATAACCAATTGAATCAAAAAATGACATTAGTAAATGAAATCCTCCAAGTCTTATTATGATCTTTGATAATTCAGATCCATCAGGTGCTGCAGATTTCTCAAGCGTTTGCATACAGAGGTTGATCGAAAGTAATAATGCATACTTCGTGGCCGTAATGTTTCGCATTTTCTAAAGCACAAAATAAATTCGTGTATATTGTACTGTAGTTACTTGCTGGTTGGTTAATAAACGGTAAGAATAAAATTTTAGACTTAAAAAATTCTGAATACTACTTGTTAAACGTTCGATATAACCATTCCAACCGGGTAACGATAAATTCTTGCATTTACCATAGAACCATATTGCTTCAACTTTTTGGATTAAAGATATTGGTGCTTCACTTTCAAAAGCTATATTTTGCACATTTATTTTACTATAACCAACTACACCATCATTTTGATAGATTTGAAATGGCACATGTGCTTTTGCTGCAAAATCTTTTG